AATAATAGTAATAGCAATGGTAATAATAATAATAATAGTAATAGCAATGGTAATAATAATAATAATAGTAATAGCAATGGTAATAATAATAATAATATAATAATAATAATAGTAATAGCAATGGTAATAATAATAATAATAGTAATAGCAATGGTAATAATAATAATAATATAATAATAATAATAATAATATAATAATAATAATAGTAATAGCAATGGTAATAATAATAATAATAGTAATAGCAATGGTAATAATAATAATAATATAATAATAATAATAGTAATAGCAATGGTAATAATAATAATAATAATAGTAATAGCAATGGTAATAATAATAATAATAATATAATAATAATAATAATAGTAATAGCAATGGTAATAATAATAATAATAATATAATAATAATAATAGTAATAGCAATGGTAATAATAATAATAATATAATAATAATAATAGTAATAGCAATGGTAATAATAATAATAATAATATAATAATAATAATAATATAATAATAATAATAATAATAGTAATAGCAATGGTAATAATAATAATAATAGTAATAGCAATGGTAATAATAATAATAATAGTAATAGCAATGGTAATAATAATAATAATAGTAATAGCAATGGTAATAATAATAATAATAATAGTAATAGCAATGGTAATAATAATAATAATAGTAATAGCAATGGTAATAATAATAATAATAGTAATAGCAATGGTAATAATAATAATAATAGTAATAGCAATGGTAATAATAATAATAATAGTAATAGCAATGTAATGGAATTAATAATTATAATTAATAATTAATCATTAATCATTAATAATAATAATAATAATAATAGTAATAGCAATGGTAATAATAATAATAATAATAATAATAATAATAATAATAATGATAACAATTGGTAACAGAATCTTGTCTGTTTGTTGTGCTCCTGTGTGCGCTTCCCACTATTTGCGGGACTTGATCTCAGGTCAGCAGGACTGCTAAATGAGAAATCTGCCTTTGCACCGCACATCTGTAGTAGCTGCTGAATCATGGGGTCGTTGTTAGTGAGAATAAGTGCTGAAAACCTGCTTTAAGCTAAAATCTCTTCCCAACGCAAAATAAAATCCTAATAAGCATTACCATTAAAATTAGTTGGGTCGCAGTTGTAGAAGTTCCTCCAGTCTTGGCCGTAGGTGATGTAGTTGATGTACCAGCAAGAGGAGAGGATGATCTGGTGGCCAGCCTTCGTCAGCTCGTAGACGTAGTCTCCCCAGCCGCGCATCTTGGGCGAGAGAGACTTGTCCTTCCATACTTGCACCACGCTCGTGTTGGCCATCTGGGGCGAGAAAGAATTGGACTAAGGAATAGAAACTTTTCGATACGAAATCATTAAAAAATGCCATCACTGCTAATCACAGAACATACAACTACTTATTGCAAAAATAATATCCATAACTGACATGGAACACAGTTAAACCCCAAACTGACCTTCGTGCCACGGTCAGCTGGGTCTTGCCAAGTAATGTACTTGATGGGCGTGAGCTCAGCCAGCTCCAGCACCCGCTCCACGTAGTGCTGCTCGACCTGGCCGATCTCGGTGTAGTTGTGGCGCTCCATGAAAGCCTTGACGACTGGCGAG